AATCAAACGTTTTAAAATATTTATTATAATAAGTGCGATTGGTAAATAAATGTGGATCTTATTCTACAAATTTCAATCTCACCATACTTTTAAATTGTACTAAAAGTGTTTTTAGATTGAATTGTGAACACTGGAATATGTATGAAAAAAATAGCCGGTGGTTCAGGTTTGCTCTGTTGTGTTCGAGTTTTTAATAACTAATGAATATTAATTATTCATACCGAAAGTAGGAACTATTTTGAGTCTAATTATATTTAATATTTATCAATGTATTTGTAATATCAGAAAGAAAAAATCAATCAGCACTTATTGTTGCTTAAATAACAGAAAAATAGAAAGAAAGCGAGAAGATGGGACTTATTAAATACATGTCCTTGCTGACGACTTGCTCAGTCTTCGCGGTGCTTATATCAATTATTTGGCAAGCATTCATTTCGCTGAAAAAAATAAATAAAGTGATAACCTTATTGACGGGTTTATTGGCGATAGAAAGCAGTTTGAAACGCCCACAAGACTATCCGCGACCAAAAGTAGCAATTGGTTATGGAGCTTGCACAGATTTACTTATAAATGCAACTGATTTTTTAAATTACACAGAAAAGTATGTGCAAGACATTGGTCCGGAATTTACTGTAGATGAGATCAATAATGAAAAAGAGCTTCTGCAGACTTTTGCCTACTACTTTCAAAATGGTGCAGCAGCTGAGTAAATTTAAAATTGTATTTTCCAAAAATTTACTTAAGCAAATTATTACATTTTAGACGGATTATGCCGAATACAGAGCTTTTCAGAAAATTGATAAACATTGCAAAAACCCGACATCGCAATCAAATTCAATGGTTTATTGGAGGAAATGCACCATTAATGGGTATACGCTTTTTTATGGAAGGTGCCGATGTCCTTCTCGGTGCACGTTTGTCGCATAAGTATGTAAAAGTGTGTTTTCCAAAAAAAAAAAAATTTTTATTTCATTTTTCGTAGATTAAGGCGTTTAATACCAGAAGAAATAAAAATTGCCGGTGAAGAAATTGACGAGGATGACATTCATATTATACTAGAATATAAGTCGGGTGACAATTGGGGTCCGTTTACAGCTCCTCGCGCAAATAGGTATATAATACATAATGACAAAAACAATCCACATCTGAACTCGCTGGAACATTTTGAAGAAGCTTTGAAAGAATTTCAACCCAAATTAGTTGTAATTAGTGGATTACAAATGATGGATAGTTATCAATTTGAAGAAGGTACTTTAGAGTAAAAAAAAAATATGTTGCAAATATTCTTAAAACACGGCATTCATTTTAAAATAAAAGGGGTAAGAGAAGCAAGACTATACAAGGTTCAACAACAAATATCACGGCAGCCGCCAACCGTTTTACAGCATTTTGAAATGGCTAGTTATGTTGAAATTGAATTACTACAGATGTTGCGGAAAAATGTGCTGCCATATGTAGACTCAATTGGTATGAACGAACAGGAACTAGATAATTTAAGGCAAGTATTGGAATTTGACAGAATTACGTTGGCATCTGACTGGAACCCTCGTATAGCTTCAACACTTGATCATATGCGAGAAGTATTCAAAATACTCGCAAACAATTATTACGAAAACATAAAGCGTAACGGCAGATTACGTCTTTTAACTCGAATTCATGTGCATACTCTTGCCTATCAAGCTATTTTAGTTGTCAAGGACTCACAGTGGAATAATACAAATGTATCCGCCGCAAAAGCCGCTCTAACTGCACATCGCTATGTGTGCCAAACCAATATGGTAAGTGCTTAACAAAACCTGTTCCACATATTTAATAAAACTATAATTGCATTTTTAGGTAAATCCTGAATCTGCGTCGCTTCTATTAGACGACAGTTTTGCAATTTCGGCTACTAAAAATGCTGAACGCAAAACATTTAGTACTCAAAATCCGGTACCTTGTTGGAAAGAATTCATTGAAGTAAATGCCCAAAAATCCATAGAAATTGAGATTTGCATTGCTCCTGTATTGGTATGCCGGGTTGCAAAAAAAACTGCTGGTGCTGGTGATAATATATCTGCTGCTGGACTATCACAGCATCTTTGACTTGCATCGCTTAGAAAGTAAAAAAATCAATGAATCTTTATGTCCACTTACATCACTTTAATTCGATTTCCATACAACCTTTGACCATTCGGAAACCTTAGTGACCTTAAAATGTTATATTTAACATATACATACTGTTAAAACATTCCAGAAGTATATTCCAGTATATAGAAATTATTATCTTAATATTGTTTATAATTTTATTACACAAAAAAACTTAAGATTGTTTACATTTTAAATGTACTTATCCTAAATTTGTGTTCATCTTATTATAAGATTAATCCTATTTTTAAATCATTGTTAAAATATTAGTTTAGCAAATCTACGTGTAAATTATATACATACTTTTCAAATTTTAGACAAATTTTACATGTTTGTAGTTCGGGTTTTTATTTTTTGTTACTTTTTAATAAAATGTTTAATTAAGATATTAAATATAGTTTTTATACAACCTACAATAAAAACAAGTTAAATATGTCCTAAATACAAGAATGACTACTAAATCTTACATTTTTCTCATTAAATATCACTAGTTCATGAAAGTAAGTTATTTTAAAAATAATTGAATAGAGTAGTTTAAGCAGGAGATGAATATTACCTAAATAGGAAAAAATTTACAATTATAAATTACAATTTTGTTTGTGAACAAAAGAGAAAATTTGCAGATTTTTATGAGCAAATAAGTCAGAAATAAGTGGAAGCGTTTCGAATTGTTACACAATACGACTTACAGAAGTATTATGAAGCTTTCTGTTTCTTACAGTCCCGGCATAACATATGCTATATTATCTAATGTAGATGATAAATTTTCACTTAGTTGTGACTTATGTTCTAGACCAGGTATCTTTGTTGTTAAGCATAACAAAGGACCCAACGAACATAATAAACTATCTAAGAGCACTGATAAGCTACCTGAAACAGCTATTTGACCTTCATGTTCTTTTAACCGTTCACCTATTATAGTTAAACTTTCACCTAACAATTTTAAATGAGCTGCTGTGTCTATGGGTTCAATACTCGATAGAGGAATTATTTTGCTATTTTGTGCATTTGTACTTGGATACGTTTGAGAAGGTACTTCATTAGTAGTTATATGAGCAGAATTATTACCATTGTTTGTTGTATAATTTTTTTTCTTTTTTACAATATTATTAGTTTCACTATTATTAAGATCTTTTATTAAGGATTTACTAACTTCTGCCAGCTTCTTAGTTCGACTTGTTGTCGCTCGATTAAAAAATGCCGAATTTAAACTATGTTTTGCTGATAGTCCCAATTTTGCATGCTCCATAGTAATCCTTGCCTTGCCAGCTTCTAGTTTTGCTCTTCTGCGCCATGTATTTTTCTCTTTATTGGATACATTTGCCCATAATTCACCTAGCCGTCTAGCAGTATTCGAAAAATCTGCAATATTCAATTCTTCATTACAAAATTATAACAAACCAAAAATAAAGATCTGCATTATTACCTAAATCTTGATTTTTACTAAACTTTGATGTTTTTCTAAATTCACGTGCCCACATACTATAGGCTGTATAACGCGACTTTCCTTTATCCTTGCGCTCCAATTTCCTTGTTATAACTTTTCCATCTTGGAGGAATTTTCTTTTGTTTGACTTTTCGGTCATATAAAGACTTTGACGTACTTTTGAATCGTGATTATTTGCGTGTTCCAAAGATTCTGCTTCAACACCTTCTACTAAATCAGCCACAAGTTCATCCAATTCATCTTCCGAATCTGGAGCAACAAGTGCATTTTCTAAAGGCACATCCGATAATTGTTCGTCATTTGAATCAGATTCATTTCCATCATTATCATCTGCCACGTTGTCCGTATCATTATTTTTTTTGCGACCGTCCTTAGGTGGCCTACCACGTAAACCACTACGTAATGGTTTTGGCGCTCGTTTTGGTTTCTTTTCAAGTTCATCTGGTGATTGAAAATCAAGTAGTTTGGAAGATTTCTTTCTCACACGTCCACTGCGCGATATTCCCGCTGTTACTGAATCTAATAAGTTAAATGCGTTAATTGAATACTATTATTTATTTATAAACAATTAATACCTCCTTGAGATGCATTCACAGTTGGCGGAGTTTCCATTTTTGTTTTTTATTATTTTTATTGCCTTTTTTGATTTGTTTTAACTATATTCTTTACAATAAAAGAAAATTGAGAAAATAACAAAAACCTTTTTGATGCAATAGACAACAGAGTTGCATTTTACTCGCGATTTATGAAACGCTACCGAAGAGAAGACCAAAAATAATTTACATAGTATATATGATAAGTTTCAATTGTTTTATAATTGTTAATGTATAAAACTAACATATTTAATAAATACTAACCTAATATATAAACAAAAAATTTTAAACACAATAATATTGCATAATATATCGTTAATGAGAATTTATTAATAATAGCGTCTTTTCAAAAATTCCCTCAGATGAAGTGTGCAACACTGTTGTTAATATTAGTAGTTTTTGTTTTTGGCGCATTTCCGCATCAAAGATATAACGAATTTGTTTGTGTTCTTTGTGTTTTTATGTTTATAATTACATATCAACAATGAATAAAAAAATATATTATTTGTAATATATAAAAATAATGATATAATAAAACATATTGATATATTGAATAGAATAAATGATTTCTTTATAATGTGAAAATAGAAAAGCAAAAGTAATAATACATAACAAAAAATAATTTTAAGAAACAATGACAAACCAAATAACTAGAACTGCACTCTCCGAAATACCTAGCAGATTAGAAGCACTGCGGGTAGCAACAACGCCTACAAACACTCATAGGCGTAGTACAGAGGAATACAATGGAAATGTTTACAACCCAGTAACTCTTTTGGACAACGCAACTAATGTTGCATTATCTGAAGAATATATGGTCTCACCACTTCACTCGCCAGATGAACTTGTAATACGTCAACGTGGACGACGTAGTTTTACCACATGGTCTCCAGATCAACCAGTGTCCATGCAAGCTTATAGCCCCTTTCAGCGCACACCAACAAAAATGCCTCTTACAACTAGTATGATATTACGTAGTTCGCCACGTAAACGCTTAACAATGGGTACTTTACCGTCAGATTCAATACCATCATCACCTACAAAGAACTATTTTTGGGCAGATCAACCAATAATAAAGAAGTTACGAATAGAAAGTGATGAACGTCCAATTGCTCAGCTCAATAAGGACGTACCATTAAAAACAGTGTTGGAAGGATTCTCACATCAACAACTTATTGATTTGATTGTTGATGGTGTGGTTGCAGGAAATAAACATTTAGAAGATAAATTGCGTTCACACTTACCGATACCAGATATAATGTAAGTAATTGTAAATTTAGTTCAAACTAAAACTAATCGTTGTTATTTATAGTCCAATGGAGCGGGAGCTATTACATATTAAACGAAATATTTTTAGATCCCTGCCAACGTCACGTCTTTGTAAAAAAACTGATAGTACATCATATGGGAGAGCGGCAGTTCATTTGCTTGAATTTAAGCGCATATTACACTCACACACAAAGCAATTGTATAATTCAGCCCATTGGGATGCATTGCTCGATTATATTATTATAGCTTGGCCCTGTGTTCGCGAGACTCCTATTTGGGATAGTGCTACGCATAATTCAGTGCGAAAGCAGTGTTTTAAACTATTATCATGTCATTGTATGGCAGCAGTTAAATATGGAGGTTTGCGTTTGGGCATTGATCGTCTGTTATTTCTACAAAAAAATCTTAGTGGTTGGATGCGAGACTATGAAGATGTTAACTCTTGTTTAAGTGCAGTAAATAAGATGCTCAATAATGGCTAGTTAAAGTTGCATTTTTAGATGCTTTTAAAGTAAATATTAGTTCTTTTGCAATTGTTTTCCTCAATACATTGTACCTTATTATTTTATTATAGAATATTTATAACATGCCATATTATAAGTTATAAAAATTTTTAATACTCAACGCTAATGGAGTTGGGTAACTAACTCCAAACAAATAACATTTTTAACTAAAACAGGTTGTAATACTAAGAATTGAGGATTTTATACAAAAAAGTTTTAAAATAAAATTTAAAGACAATTTATTTAATATCTAATATAATGCAAAATAAAAATGTGCAAATAAAAATTTAAATATATTTGTAATATAGATAAAATATTACTTCTGAAGACTCTGCAATGTATTAATTAAATTAATTTAGTTTAAATAATTAAAAGAACTTAATTTACATTTAATTAACAATTAATTTTAATTATAAAGTATGCACAAATTATATGTATTAGGGGTCAATGTAAGAAAAGTTTTTCGATGTCTTACCTATATATATTTATATACGTTATAAAGCATTAAAACCATTAAAACCAAATATGAAACACAAAATAGTAAAATGTACAAATTTGTAGAATTTTATTTAAGTACTTTACAATATAAATCGATTACATATTTTCTTATTATGAAACATTCATTAAAATAAATTTAGTAATACTAAAATATGACTAAAAACACTCAAAATCATTTTTCATATGTATTTCAACTTCCATGTCTATGCCTAGTAACAACAATAATGAAAAAAGCCAGCACCAATAGAATCCACTGATTATTATGCACTGACATCTTCATAGCTCCAGATATGTGTCGCCCTGCAAAGAAATAATATATTTAGTAAGTTTATTATGTATAAGTTACTTAAGTGATTGTTTTTATATATAACTTATAATTAAACTTAAACTTAATGTAACGCTTCATATGCAAAATATTTTTAATCTAAATGTATAAAATTTAATATAGAAAACTTATTTAAATTGCGTTGTGATATCGTTTTTGTAATTTCGAATGTAAAAGATAAACTGAAAAATATAATTTATTATATTTTTTGAAGTATAAGCTGCTATAATTATGTTAAATATAAAAAACTGTCAACTGTTGATCCTTTGATTGCTTTATCAATTTAAGACAATGCATTAATTATGTAAAAAAAGACGTATAAGTAATATTAAATTTAAAATTATATTGTAGAAATATTGGTTTTGATATATTTTTAACATATGAAATTGTTTATTAATCATTTCTAAAAAATAAAATATTTTTTATTACAAGAATTCAACCTTTTCGATAAAACTAAGTTGAAAGCACATAATAGCAATAATATATTACTTTAATATATTTTATAAAAAAGTATTTGTAAACATAATTCAATATTCATAAGTTAAATTTTTCAAAATTATTTTACTTAAATTTACAAAACATAATTTCATAAATAAAACAATAAAATGTATCGTTAAACAATTATTTATTATATTAGAGCCAAATTTTTTATTTCATTCAAAATGCGCTCGGCCCACGCATCGAGCAAACACGAAACTTCATAAAAAATCTTTCACTTAGTGTGTTTGGGTAACTATAAAAAGCTATAAATTTCCAACAAATAACTTCATTTGTATATAAGAAAATTTAATAAGCTATGAGAACCTCAAAAACTTTAAAATCTTAAATGGGCGCAGTGAATTATTTTAAAAATTTGGATGATAAAATATAAAGAATTTTTGCTTTTGCACATCTGCACGTGATTTGGTATATCGAAAAATAATAAACCATTTCTTGACACCCTCACATATTTGATATTAAACATATTACCAATTAATGTTCAACGTAAAATATTTATAAATTTTTTCTTAAACAAAAGGTGTTAATTGGTCAATAAAATATTTTTCATATTTTTGAATTTAATTTTTTTAGGAACAAAGTTATGTTAATTAGCGTAAGAGTGTTAAAACTATTTAATGTGCACTTTAAGTGATTTATTTATGGTTATATCATTATATCACTTGTACTCAACATGAATAAATCAATGATTTAAATAAAAAAATTATTTACAAAATTTGTTGCACAATTATTTTTACTGAGGTTTAGAATGTAATACATTTTTCATATACTTTATAATA